TCTGACTTTATGCACATATGGTGGTTAAAAACATGTACGGGCAGAGTGGTTGTTAAGCTCTAGTACGTCAGATGATCAGATCTGACAAGGCAGCCCAAATGGGCGTGTCCTAGTGCCAAACAAATGCGTTCGCGCCATGGCTGAAAGCTACGAAAGAAAAATACTGTTGATTGACCGAAAAAATACATCATGTAAACCAAACGAAGCGAACAGGTGTAGTTGTATGTACGAACGACAACTACAATGGCCAGCACCCTATTCGTTTGGATTTGTTTGACTTATAAGCCGTACTTTTTTAACCAACGAACAATATTTTTTTCTCACCCCAAATCAGCCAACGGTACTTTCAGCCATGATTTATCACCAAAAAAAAAACCAAGCGAACATGGCGCAGAACAATTTGGTACCAAAGTAAATAAAGCAGGATAAGACACGATACAAAAGAAGGGCTACACAAAGCGTTAGTAGAGTTAAGCACTCATATCCAAATCGGCCATGTATAATTTAAAGTCGCCACAATCCGAATAGGATGGCCCTTGAGGCATGTGCTTCTGCTCCACTTCCTGCAACGGTGGTTGTCAAGCTCAAACAGAGAAATCACATGTCGTCTTGGAACTTTTCTAGAGCTGCCAATCGATGGCAGATAGTCCCAGCTTCTCAAGGATCTGGTTTGTTTTGGAAAAGTGCCTGGGAATCATGAAACCACAGTAGCACGTGAGAAAAGATTCAAGGATAATCACAGCCAAAGCTAGTAGCACACTAGCACTTATTTATTTGGATTGGACCCCCGTAGACAGGATTTGAGATGCTGAGGAGATCATATCGACGTTCCATGTATCAGGCCTCAGCTAATGCACACACGGTAGTAACCATTAGCGCTAGTAAGTGAAAAGGCAAAAGTAACATCAAGTTGGCAAAAATCAAGACAGGACACGACGGCCAAAAGCAATAGACCGGCAATAGCATTACAAGTGGTGCTGGTGGAGTTTAATATTTCTTTCATAGGATAAATCATTATAAACCCCCTGAACTTCAGCAGTAGCAGAGACACAAGCCGTCTGTGGGAATCCACACGGTTTAGAATCAAATAAGTACTATTGTGGCCAACAAAACAATCAATTCAACTATACATGACAGGAACCTCCATTAATTTTGCTACCAAAGTGTCATCATATATACATTTTTTCTCTGTTTTATTTTGTTTTCTTTGGGGGTGAATGAGTGAGGGTGAGTCCTTTTCTAGTCAGGAAAACAGTATTCGAGGAAGTTTATTCAGAGAGAAGAAACAAACCTGCATCCAAAGAAACCCCTGTTTGCAGACAGGCCTGATGGATGAGCAGATTTCAAAATGTGATGTTTTGTTTCATCAATCAATCTGCAAAATAGCACAAACATGCACCCTGTGAATCACATAATTATCGATTTGAAAGGAAAAAAAACACATATGGTCATGCTCTAAGCTGGAACTTGAGCTCAAGTCTTCCAGAAGTGAAATAAAGCCTCTACCTTGTCTTAGATTGAGCAGAATTTCCCCAAAGAAGGAATACTAATCCTGATTTTTTTTGTGATACAGTCTTAATGACTGCATCCGTGAACTGCTCCCATCCCTTCTTGGCATGTGAGTTGGCTTGATGCTCCCTCACTGGTAAGACAAGCTAGTCTTTCTATCACACAAGATATAATCCCCAAGAATGGAAATAACAAATAGGAGTATGATTTTGAATAAGGCTAGAGGGAATCAAGATAACAAGTTAACGACACAGAACAGATCATGGTTATGCTATGATAAACACTATGATAATCAAAACTTACTCCAATATCATTGGCAAAATTGCATTTTGACCACTTGTCATTCTCTCAGCTCAATGGTCTTTTGGTAACATAAGGCTTCCGACATGGTATATTGATGTGTTCGAAACATTATATATTGGCAACTTTTCTCTTCAACTTGGGTTACTCTAAACATTCACTAATGTTGTCATACATACTTGATTGTTGATTCAACATGGCTGAAGATTACAATTTTACAAGCTGGAGGATTTAGTGGCAAGGCTGGAGAAGCTCTCACTGATGGCTGGTGTTTCCTGACTCACAACCTGTTAGTCCATTCCATAGAGCCCCAGTCTCTGGGGAAGAAGATGGCCATCTCTGATGAAGAACAGACAATGGGAATGGTACACTCCGAGCTGTGTGCCAATCTCATGCATAAATGCATGTAGTTTAATGTTATCACTAAAAGGATCTGTTCTGCATGTGGGTGTGAGCTAGGATGGTAGTTGTTCTTTCGCTTAGTTTCTTATATGCCGACTGGGCCTAGACCTACTGCAAATGTATGGAGTGGCGAAGCTCAAGGTCAGCAAAAGTGGGCCCCCTTGGCTCAGAACAGTTTTTAGCGATTTGATTGATGGCCCACATAAAACTTCAGTCTGAAGGCCCAAATATTGCATACTGCACTAGTCTCTTGCTCTTTTGATTGAGGAACTACTGCAACAGCAACACCCAACACACGCAACTGCCTGTCACGGCGTCACCCCAATGCCCTACAGCCATTGCTTGGCGCAAGGACACTCGCGCGACTTCACGGTGCAGCCTCCACCGGTCCGATTGTCGCCTCATCTGTCCTCTGGACTCCGAAACTGTGTGCCCGCATCTGCAGCGCCGTCGCTAGCTGCCTGACTTGGAGCTCTATGGCTGCCCTGCTCTCCAGTTTCAATCCCCAGTTTGATCAATAATCCTAGTGAGTGATGATCCGATCTCTGCTACTCTACTGTGGACTCACGGTCGACAGTTAGAAAGAAAGGAGTGTTGCTAGTGCGCATTAAGTTTACAGAAACAATAAATAACTTGAGACCACAGAAAATCAACAGGTAGTAAGGTTCCCTTAGTGGAGACAGAAACCTTTTTGGGGACGAGCCTTTGTCCCAGTGGTAAGCTCCCAAGTGTGGGGATGACCGATGGGGGTTTCATTCCCCACACAGAACACCCACGGCGTGCAACAAGCACCATGCAGAGACAAGGCAAATCTAAGCCTACATTTACGAGCGATTACAGGAGTGAACTAAATAAAAAGAATAAAAGATGATTCAAAATTTTCCAAGGCTTCATATGAGCGCTACAGGGACAAATAGTACTGAATAGAGTTGCAAGTAGAAGAACAGAAGACACATTTAAGTAGAACCACAACATAAATGTAGTCCTATAAAAAGCTCACAGTAACACAGTTTGGTTAAGATTGTAGAAATAAGAACCAAGGGGATGAAGGAGATCTTTTATTCTAATGGAGGAAATAATCATACCAGTTAGGACGGTATTGAGCATAAGAACACCCTGCATCATACACAAGTTTTTTTTTCCAAATTAATAAATATTTCAAGAGGCAAAGATGAGTGAAAAATAATGGCATCATGTGACAAATATATTTTTATAGGTAACTATGTAAGGAGATAAAGGAATAGGTGAATAGCAACACCATCATTTTGTTTACCCCTCAGTTAGTACTAAATCAATCTTGATCACAGCAGCTACTTTATTTTCTAAAAATTTTTAAGGCTAACTGCTACCCTGTTATTTAAGATTTCTCACCATCTTCTTAACACATTCTAGTGAGCTCACTTAGCTATTAATAACCAAATCAGGAAATTAAATAATTCAATAATGCTCGTATCACATAAAGCTTGGGCTAGAAACATACAAATTGATTTGGTTCCTGGTACATTATAAGATGCATGATATTAAGTCAATACTAGCAGATTCTTTGTATTTAATACTCACTGCAAGAGTAATAGAGTATAACACCTTTTCTCCTGGTAAATTGTTGTCCCATAATAATTCATGATATATCAATTATCAATGTATAAGTATAATTGCATATATCTTCTATTGTAGCAAGATTGAATATTAAATAATGTTACCTGCACAGCCCATCTTTCCAAATTTCCATGTGATGGCACAGTGCAGCCTAGGTCTTTTTCGAGCTCTTTAAAAATGTTACCTAAGCTAGAAGGTATTTTTATCCCCTCCGGTACTGAGAAAGACAACCCCATGGCCTGACCAGGGCCATGGTATGGATCCTGGAAAGCAGGCATGCTACAATATGAGCACTGAGGAACAATAGATGCATTTTAAATTGACAGGTGAAACGTGGTTTATGTCGTAGATGACAAATGCAATGCAAACCTATTGCAAACAAGATGAAATATCTAAGTAGATTTGAGTACAAAGAAAAAAACTATGGTTTGTTCAACACCCGATGCACCATAGACTGTAAAGTGTAACCCAATAAAAGCTGACCGGAAGGGTGAGGCAATAAATAGTAGCATTTGGACAATAATTCTAGCACAAATCAGGCTGGCAGCATGACAGGAAAACAACCCACATACATGGACATTATGGCATCTAAAACCATGCAATAAGTTCAAACAACGCAAAAAGACAAGCAGCATATGCTCAAATCAATTACCAGGAACTAACAAATCTTGTTGCATGGTAAAAGACAACACAGAAGCAATAAGTTATATTTGCAACATGTGAGATTAGTCCATCCATGTTTTGGTTTATTGCGAGTCAGACAAAACCAACATTGGGTAACAGTCAGACAAACTGAGCCCCATTTACATATCGGATAATCAAATAAAAAAATGGCGTTACACTACCAGAACTGTGACACATTACCACTGCACAATAAGAAGGGCTGGTATATTGGACAAAAGTCAGAATGTGGTGCTTAATATCCGTCATAGAAGGATACAAAATAAATAAAAAAGAATATGCCCTTGTAATCACTTGATGTGCCAATGCTAATGAAAGTAGACCAGAAAAAAAAATCCCCACATCATTCTAGAAAAAAATAGATCGTTACTGCAACTAAATGATCATCCAGGCAACTAGCCAACCTCCGAGTGCAGTAGCAGTACATATACCACAAACAATGCATCTATTTGCGATTCCATTACAAATTTCCCCGCAAATGATAAATGCTAGCATAGAGAAAACTAATCAATTTAGCGTGCTGATATCTAGTATCACAAAATCAGCACAAACAACTGATGGTCACTAGAGATGATATACGGTAGCAGCAGGCAAGCTATACCTGACCGATGATGACTGCCTTGACACGGTCGAACGGGGTGGCGTTGAGCGCGTGGAACACGAGGTGCGGCGGCGGGTACACGGACAGCGGGCCGTGGAGCCGCTCGTGGGCGACGAAGCGGCAGAGCTCGAGCGCGTATGGCTTGCGCAGCTCCCCGTGGAGCGCCTCCGCCCACGTCTCCTCCACGAGGAGCTCCTCCAGCTTCGGCGCGCCCCCCGACGCTGGAACCCATCCATCCCCGCAACCAGAGCAGCGTCCGTCAGTAGCTACGGGCAGACGAGAAGACGGGAATGCGCTGTACGCGCGGACGGAACCCTAGGGGGCAGGGGGGGACGGGAGAGCGGGTACCTTGCGCTTTGGACTCGGCGAGGCGGAGGTTGCGTCGCGCGCGGGCGAGCGCCAGGTTGGTGTCGGCGCGGCGGCGCTGCTCCGGCGAGAGCGAGGAAGGGGAGGAGGAGAGGGAGGCGGCCGGGGCAGCGCTGCCCGCCCGGAGGCGCTTGGCGGGGCGCGCGAAGAAGTCGGCGATTGTTTTGGGTGCCGTCGGGGTGGAAGGGGACGGCGCCATTGGCTCCGGATTGGAGGAATTTCGGGAGGAGGCGGCGAGGGGGTTTGGTCAGCAGTCAGCACTCAAGCAGCCACGGCTCTCCCTCGCTTTGGGGGTTTTTGGGGACGACTTGTTCGGGGAGTAGAAATGAATGGGCGCGCCAGCGCGTTGCGAGGAGGAAGAGAGAGCGCGCCGCTCTGGGCGGCGGAATTGCCCCACGAGACAGCAAAAAAAAATGACGCTGGGCCTTGCTCGGTCCGTCGGTCTTACGCGCTGGGTCAAACTCGTCAAGCATATGGATGCAGAATGTGGAGGCCCACTCGGAGTATCTTGGGCCGGGCCACTCCATGCAGACGATGCAGAAGTTGACATACATGGGCTTTGTGAAAGTTGAAACGCCAAAGCCACAATATTTTTTGTCATTTTCTTCATGTATATACGCGGCGGCGAAATACAGTCGAAACAATACGATTTTTGAATGAGAGAGAAAAAAAATCCACAAACAAAATGCTCCGCACAATCACAAACTCACCACTAATTTCATCTACAAAAACACGCAAGCCTACCAAACAAAGGAAAGCGCCATTAATCACATTTCACAAACTCGCAGGAACGCCGTTCTCGATCGAGCCAGACAGCCGCGCCTAATCGCCTCTCGAGTGAATTCATTCAGACTCCGATCACGATGACCGGCAACGCCATGGCCACGGCTGCGATGGCGCCGGCGAGTGCGCCCCCGGTGGTGCCTGCTGGCGCGGCGGCGCCGGTCGGGGCCGGCGGGCTAGGAGGCGCCGGCGGGGGCGCGCCCGGGCCGATGACCTGGACGACCATCCTCTGGCCACGCTCGCAGTGGCCGGACTCGCCACTGATGAAGTAGACGGGGCCCGGGTGGTCCAGGGCCACCTCCGTGTCGCCGTTGTTGGAGAAGAAGATGGGGTGCGACGCGCGGCAGCTGTCGTAGTCGGCCTCTGTCACCACCATCACCGAGTCCTCCTTGTACTTAAAGTCTGCACGCGGCACGGACCATGCATGAGTTGGCGGCGATCGAGATTGATTAATGGCATTTGCCAGATTGATCCCAGAGAACCAACGAACGAATGGGAATGGATCTGTCTCTTACGGACGAGGTCGCCGACGAGGAATCGGTTCTTGGACGCCCACTGGTTGTACCTGCCGCCGTCGCTGGCCGGCGGCACGACCCACCCGTCGTCGCCGCCGACCTCGAACGCGGTCGCGTCGGCGTGGCGGCACAGCGCGCAGGCGAGGACGGCGAGGAGGAGCGCGAGCGGACGGAGGTTCGCCATCGCGCGCTAGCTGCCGTGTAGTACGCGTGTGTGTTCGGATCAGCTGCGAAGCCGAGAGGAAGAGCGAATTAATAGGGAAGGGAAGGAGGTGGTGGCTACGTACGGTCTCGAGTAGAGGGAGGGGGATCGATCGTGGAGACAGCCAGCGTGCGTTGGTTGTCTCCGCCACCTCGCAGGCGGGTTCGCATGCTGTTGACCGCGCGCGCGGAGCTTGCGGTTGCGGGCCGGCCCGTTGCTTGCCCGGCTTAGTTTTCGGGTGCCGGGCCGTTCGAGATGGGTTTCGAGAGGCGCGGTTGCGTGAATCCATGCCATGGATCGGCGTCGGCCCATGTTCGGCTGCCTCCACCGCGCTTTTTTTTTACCAAACAGAAAACAGAAGTCTTCGTTAAACGTTGGCTCCAGACAAATTACCGGACACCAGAGCCATAACAAAGTCTGGGGCCTGGCTTAAGTACACATGTGAATCAGGCTGCAAGTTACAAAGCCCCATGTGCAGCTAAACTTAAACTGTGTGCTACCCTGTTACTACATAATCTACAGAAGATAGAGATGGTACAATACACAAAATTAGAAAACATAAATTCTCGAATCTGCTTAAACAAGCAGTCATTCGGGCTTCGGTCATTCTCCGTCGATGTAAGAGTTGTCCCCGGGGTTGCTGTATCCGTCTCCAAAATTATTCTTGACTTGCCAAGTTGTGGCACCTGTTCCGGGTTCATTTGGACAACCAAGGTTTCAGCTGGCAGAGCACCCGAAACCCGGGTCAAGTTCCCTGCCCCAGCTTCAAGAAATTCACCATTAGACCCCTTGACCACAAATCCCCATCCCCCTCATCAATATTTACTTTGCAATAGCCTACAGGTGGTGACTTCCATCTAGGAATTGACGCAACTTATTCTGGTTTCTCTTGGATGGACAACTTTTCAAGCTCCATCAAATAAGAATTGGTTGTACTGCAAATTTCTGTTGGTCTAGACATTTTGGCCCCCGTACTTTCATGCTGACCACTATCTTCGTAACAACACCAACACTTTCAGCTCCATCTTTTGTGCTAAATTTCAAAATTTCATGATGCTGTCTTGCCCTGAAGGACATGAGGTCAGAAGGCATAGATCGGACATCGGGCGCGTCAGGTCATTGACAGACGCGTCTAGTCAATTGAAAATGGCTCTGGAACCTCTCACGAAATGATCTGACACCGTTGAGATCGAACGTGTAGAATTCAAAGCATTGACACGTGGCGTGATCCACATGACCGGACGCTGGCGTGGGCGCGTTCGGTCAACCCGACCAGCGTGTCCGGTCAGTACGCAGAGAGCACTCTTTTGACTTTAACGGCTCTATTCATTTGAGGGACGTCTATAAATAGTATTTGGCCGATTTTAAGGCAACTCTCTTGCCATTTTAACATACTTGACATCCTTGTGAGCCTAAGCAAACACCTCTCACTCATCTCCATCATTGTTTCTTTATCATAATGAGATTGAAAGTGATTTCAAGTGCATTTGCTTAAGTGATTGCATCTAGTGGCACTTGTGGACCGTTGTGGCTGTGGATTTCTTATTTCTCTTGGTGGTTGCCGCCACCTAGACGGCTTGGAGCAGCGGAGGAGCTTTAGCACAAGTTGGTGATTGTTCGTGGCCGGCTCCGGTGATTGTGAGGGGTCTTGTACCTTTCTCGGCGGAGAGCCAAAAGGTAACTCTAGTGGATTGCTCGTGTCGTTGAGTTACCTCACTTGTGGGTAGGTTCTTGCGGTATCCAATTGTGTGGATGAGGTTCGTGCAACACCTCTTAGGTGTCGAACCACCAAGTGTTGGTCGACACAATGGGGATTAACGTGCCGGTAAGCATGTGAACCTCGGGAGAAAAATTGATTGTCTCTTGCCCTTTGGTATTCTCCCGGTGATTGAATTGGTATTCATCTTTTGATTGGTTCACTCCTCTACGCGGCGATATAATCACCCTACTCACTTATTTATATTCTCGCAAACTAGTTGTGGCAAGCTCTTTAGTGCAGCTAGAATTAAGAGTTTGCTTTGTATTTTAAGTTCATCTAGTGGAGCTCTTTAGTGTAGCAAGTGTGAGAGCTCTTAGTGAGCAGTGACTTAGCAAATTGTGTGCCTAGTGATGATAGCAATTAGAATTATTAGATAGGTGGCTTGTAACTCTTGTAGAGTTAGAGCAAGTTTGCATTTCGCTATTTGTCACACTAATCAAAATACTCTAGTGATCTTGTAGATATTTAAATAGGCTATTCACCCCCCTCTAGTCATATTAGGACCTTTCAACAGCGTGGTGGGGCTCGAACGCTGGCTGAGCCGCGCGACCTGACGTCGAGTGAACATTGTTCACGCGTCAGGTCTTGGGGTCGGTGTGCGCGCAGTGAGAGAAGGAGAAGGACCGGACGCCGGGCGCGCCAGGTCATCCTTGACCGAACGCGTTCGGTCACTTAAAATTGGCTCTGGAATCTTTCTGGAAATGACATGACGCTCTGTGTTCGTGAGTCCGGTCATTTGTGCGACGAGTGCGGTCGGAACTTAACGCTGACAGGCGACCGCTGGAGATCGACGCGCGACGTTGAACGGAGGGCCACATGGCAGCCATCGGCCGACCGGACGCTAGGGTGAGTCCGGTCGGCGCGTCCGATCGGCCCTGCGCAGAGCAACGACTCTATTTGTTTGAGGGGCTCTATAAATAGCTCTTGGCCGGCTTGGGTCTCACACTCTTGGCACTTTGACATTTTTGACATCCTTGTGAACCTAAACAAACACCTTCTACTCATCTCCATCATTGATTCATCATCATAATGAGTTTGGGAGTGATTGCTAGTGCATTTGCTTAAGTGATTGCATCTAGTGGCACTTGAAAATTGTTATGGCTGCGGATTTCTTGTTTCTCGTGGTGGTTGCCGCCACCTAGATGGCTTGAAGTAGCGGAGGAGCATCGGCATGAGTTGGTGATTGTTCGTGGCCGTCTCTTGGTGATTGTGAGTGGTCTTGTACCTTTCCCAGTGGAGATACGAAAGTTAACTCTAGTGGATTGCTCGTGTCATTGAGTTACCTCACTTGTGGGTAGGTTCTTCCGATGTCCATTTGTTGGACTAGGTTTGTGAAACACCTATTAGCCTCCGAACCACCAAGTATTGTTCGACACAATGGGGACTAGCGTGCCGACAAGCACGTTGAAAGCTCTAGTTTGGTTTTGGTTAATTGATGAAACCCTAAGTGCTAACCTAGTTTATCAAGGTGATTATGAGATAGGTAGCACTACTCCAAGTAATGAAGCAATGACGAAGATCATGACAATGGTGATGGCATGGTGACGATCAAACACTTGAACTTGAAAAGAAGAAAGAGAAAAACAAAAGGATCAAAGCAAAGGTATAAATTATAGGAGCCATTTTGTTTTAATGATCAAGACACTTAGCGAGTGTGATCACATTTAGAATCGATAGCCGTACTATTAAGAGGAGTGAAACTCGCATCGAAATGCGGTTGTCAAAGTGCCACTAGATGCTCTAACTCATTGCATATGCATTAAGGATCTAATAGAGTGCTAACACCCTTGAAAATGTTTGTGAAAATATGCTAACACATGTGCACAATATGATACACTTGGTGGTTGGCACATTTGAACAAGGGTAAAGAAGTTATAGGTGAAATGGAGTTGGTCGCAATGATGCTGGCGTCGGTCTACTGACCGGACGCTGGGTCACTC